CCATTAGGAGGTATAGTGCTGAGTAGGATTTGGTGTTGGAATTTCAAAGCCTCCCTGTTCCATGCTTGACAGAATCCTTTCTCCGAAATGAACAAAATACAAAAGGCACACCTGATTGTCTTCAAGAATGCCTGTCTTTAAAAAGAGAAATTGGCTTTTATGACTAAGAAGAGAAAATCATACAATAAGAAAATAAAATGTCCCATGTACGTAATGCGATGTGTCAGATAATTGTAAGGTTTTTTCCTTCCCCCTCGATTTCTTTGTGCTGCCCTGACTCTGTGTCTCTTTCATGAGGGGAAAATGGTTCTGATGCTTGTCACAGTGAGCTCATCGTGTGTGGGCTCCGTCCTGGAGGAGTAGTAGAAAGAACTGCCTGTTAAGGCCCTGCTTTTAGGTCTGAGGAGAATGTTAACTTCGTGCAGTGCTGGCCAGTTACTGTTGCTTTCAGTAGTTGCTCGCAGACCTTCAAGTATTGTGGGGAGAGCAGAGAGGAGAGTAGTGGCTTTTATGTCACCAGACCGGCACCCTTTCTGCTAGCAGGAGGGCAGAGATGTACCCATTGCTGCCCAACGGGAGGCAGCACTAGACCTAATACTGGTCAGACCCCTCCGACCCTCAGAGGCTCCGTGCTGGTGAACAGCTCACTGCCTGAGTGAGGCTGTCAGGATGAGTTCCAGGCCCCTGACTGGGCTGCCGGCTCCCTGTGCTTTTTCTCTCTCCGCACAGCAGGCTTCCGGGGCTTTTTCTCTTGGTAATTGTCACCACTAGTTCTGCTCAGTCCCTGCAGATAAGCACGTAGGCCCTTTTTATTTTAAGATTTTACTGTTATACAAAAATAGCAGCCTTAGGAAATCACAGAAGTCCCAGACCCGATTCCCTTCTGGAAGCCCTTGGGACATAGCTTTTATTTCTTATGTGGGGCTTCCTTTTTCTTCTGGCTTCTTCCCCCATTTCCCATTAAAGAAATAGTTTGTTCTCAAGGAAGCCTTGCTCCCAGCACGTAGGCCTGGAGATCCTGACTTCCTTGTTCCTGGGAGCTTGCATCTCTGGGGATGTTTCATGGGTATTGGACTGTCTTGAGAGTCAGGGCATTTTGTCAAAGCACTCATTTTCTTTAGCAATCCAAGTAGCAGATTCTCATCCCATGTTAAGTTTTCATGGAGCCTTCTTTCCCCCAAATTCAGCATAAAACACAATTGTTTGGGGCCATGTCAAGGTATGATTTGCCCAAATGCCAACTCACTGATGTTAGTTGATTAGTAAAAATCACTTGATTAGTAAAGAGTGATGGAGAGTTGGAGTGGTTGGAAATCTCATCAGCTGTGTGTGATACTCAAACAAAGTCCATGCTGGCACTGTTTCCTCTGCAGGTTGACTTCAAGTGACAGCTTTTGCTTTCTGCAAACAATATTCCAGACGTGAATAAGAAACCATGACTCATACAATAACTATAATAGTAGGCTTGTGTCGTGGCTGCTTTTAGAGCATTGTATTTTAGTGCTCATTTAATTATCTGTTTGCTATAAAAGTTGGCAGTCTTGGTTTTCCTCTCCAATGTAAACAAAATAATAATATTTAATTCCCTGGGTAGTTATTGCTGTAATAGTAGAAAGTCTTAAAAAAATTTTTTTTTCCGGTTTTAAACTGCGTGAGTTTAGAATGGGACGTTTTCAAGGAAGCTTTTATTTATTTATTTTTTTTAAAAAGGCCAGCCAGATTTTCCTTGTAATAAACCTAATAGAGGTGAAATAGAGTTTTCGTCTTGAAAGTAAACAAGCCCTGTCACAACTAGTAAAAAATGTAACTAAAGAAGAGTTTGCGACAGAGGCCTTGTTGTCAGTCACCCTGTGTCCGAGCGGGTTGGCAGTCTACGGTCTAAGGCTTCAGCTTTGGCCATCCAGGAATTTGATTTCCTCAGCTCAACGGAGAGTTGAGTGAACTCGGGGGTACTGACTGCTGTTAACTGGTTAGTGTGTTTTTCCTCTGTGGCAAAATCTGTATGGGAAGCGAAATGACAATCAAAAGTTTGCACGATGAACATGGAGTCAGAGCCAAAGGGACCAGATGGTCTGAGTGGCATACGTCAGCCACCTGGGAGCTGGATGTCCCTCTGCACCCCAGAGGCAGCGTTGGAGAGCAGAGGGCATTGCTCCTCCTCTTGGCTGGCAAGGCTGTCTTTCCTGCTGGCCCAGTGCTGGCAACTGGGCATGAATAGTCTCTCTTGTTAAAATAAAACACAAAACCCTCTAAGGGTTGAGCAGATGAGAACTCTGGAAGACGAGACTGTACATGTAGTTACCAGCTTGTTCTCCCAGACTTCCCCTCTCCTTCCAGTTTTCTCCCGTTGATTCTGGGTGTTCATCACCCTCTTAACCCCACAGGCCTGTTGTGCCCTATAAAAAATTGGCCAAAGCCAAGCATCAGACCTCTTTCTATTATTGTTCTCAGCATAGATGAGGAGGTGGCCAGAAGAATGAACAGCCTCTTAAAACGAAGAGAAAGCCAAAGGAAAACAAACATGTGCCGAAACTATAAAATCATCGTGCTGATGAAGGATAGGTTTCTCTGTGGGAGCGTGGTGCGAAACCTAAGCCAAACGGTTAATCTCGACCAACTTGAATGATGACTTCATCTTCTGAAGTGATGAGGCAGGGTACTGCCTGTCTCAGAGTGTCTGTACCTCAGCCAGGCAGGCAGAACTGAATAGTTTACACGTCCCTTACCCTCCTAGTTTATTTTTGCAGATGACTAATCTCATTTTAACATTTCTTATATATAGAATGTATATTTTATGCTTAGAGTTGTACCATTTCTGAACATTGTCCTCAAATTCTGGGGGCACTTCACAAAGCCCAGAATGTACTGATTACAAAATAGGTGTGCCGGAGTCATAAAATCATAAGAATGACTTCTTTTTTTAGCTCCTTCAGAATATCACTAGGAATACATTTAAAAATATTCAACACTTTTCAGTCAATAACAGCTATTGTTTTTGATGCTCAAATTGTCCCGTCTTTGGCCAATAGAAGGCTATGTATGTGGCTCCTGTGTCCTTTTGAGATGACCCCTTTCCTATTGGAACACTTCCTTCCTTTCTGATCTCATCAAGATGTTTCAGGCCCATCTTGTACTCTTTCTGGCTCAGGTATGAAATGGGTCACCCCTCGGAGGACCCCTTGTTTCCCTCAGTGGGGAATTGTTTTTAGAGACCCTAACCTGGGTGCTGGAGGTGTCCACAGCTGCTGGGCTGTCTTTCTAAACCTATTCTGTGGATATATTTGTATTTTCGAAAAGAAAAAAAGATTTAAGAAAAACTTTTTTTGGTGTGCTTGTATTTTCTGTTACAGTGAAAACATCTTGGTTCCTTTTGACATTATCATAATTATTTGCTTTATCTCTTGTATATATAAGAATTTAAAAAATAATTCCAATATATTACATCCTTTCCTTCCTCATTCATTCATTTTTATAATATTCTATTCGTGAATGCCATATAGTTTAAGAATGATTAAAAGCACACATCCTTGTGAACTACTGAATCAGGTCTCTAGCTGGAGAGATGAAAAGGCACTTTAAAAAACACAGCTGCTTTTAATTGGGAACGCTCCTTTTTTTCTTGAAGCCCATACTTCCAAGATAAACAATGGTCATCGTTACTATTTTTTATATATATATGCTTGCCCATGCCTCTTTAAGCTGCCAGGAAAGAGTTCAGAACAATTTGGGACGAAACCTTGTGCCAGCCTCCGGCTGACCGCCCCTTCCGACGCTGCTCAGATGAAGTGCGCACTTGCATCTCGCCGGTGTTGGGCACCTGAGACTCGCTCCCTTTGGTGGCCTGTCCCCTCCGCCCCCTCCCAGACCTAGCGAGAGGCGCAGAAACCTCCGTGGCTGCTTCTGGTTCCCCAGCGCAGCGGCGCACCCACCCGCTCCGGGGTCTCCGGCCGAAGCTCTGCTGCTCCCGGGCCCAAGTGCCGGGAGCGGGACGGGCGCCCGGCGGCTGGAGCCGCCCCGTGCGCACGGTGACGCCGGGATTGGGGGCGG